CCCTCCTTCCCTTCCCCCTCTCCACGTGGACCACCAAGATGGGCTGAGGTGAGCAATGGTACCATGTAACATGCCTGACTGTATTATCTCTCATGCTCTCGATGACTCTAATATAATACTTATATATCTCAACCGTACAATTGTACTTACTGAATCCGAGTAGTAGTAATAGTAGTAGCAGCGGGTGGGGGCTGGCCCTTCACTCCCCAGCGTCAATTTTTTAATTTAATACTACACCATGTCCAACTGTCACATGCACAGGAGGCCATTGAAAACACCCTGACCTGGGTCAGGTGCGCCTTAGTCCTCACAGGAAACTCCTTGCTTTTCAACGCTTTAAAGAGGTCTTTGTGCAGGAGATTTACTCAGTGCCATGTGTCCTTTGATCTCTGGACTGCTGCTTCCAGGAGCATTGATTGTGGCCCAAAGCAAGATGAAATCCTTGACAACGTCAACCTGTTCTACAGTTTATCATGATTTTACCATTTGGTCCACTTGTGAGGGGTTTTGTTTTCATTAAAATGTAATCCACATAGAAGGCTACAATCCTTGACCTTCACCAGCAAGGGCTTTAAGTCCTCCTCACTTTCAGCAAGCAAGATTGTATCATCTGCATATTGCATGTTGTTAATAAGCCTTCCTCCAATCCTGATACCAAATTCTTCTACGTGTAACCCAGTTTCTTTGGTTATTTGGTCAGCATATGGATTGAACAAGTATGGTGAGAAGATACAATCCTGATGCACACCTTTCCTGATATAAACGCATGCAGTGTTTTCTTGTTCTGTTTGCACAACTGCCTCTTGGTCCATGTACAAGTCCCTTATGAGCACAATGAAGTCTGGAATTCCCACTCTTGTCAAGGTCATCCATAGTTTGTTATGATCCACACAGGCGAATGACTGACTTGGCATAGGCAATAAAACACAAGTAAACGCCTTTCTGATATTCTCTGCTTTGAGCCAAGATCCATCTGACATCAGCAGTGGTATCCCTTGTTTCACATTCTCTTCTGAATCCGGTCTGACTTTCTGGCAGCTCCCTGTCAATGTACTGCTGCAACCATTGTTGAATGATCTTCAGTAAAAATTTACTTGCATGTGATATCAATGATATTGTTCAATAATTTACACATTCTTTGGGGGGGTCACCTTTCTTTGGAATGGGTACACATGGATTTCACAGAGATTCATATTTGTTTTTATTGCTGGATAGGACTATAGTGTAGTTATACCATAGTTTATTTGGCCATTCCTCGGTTGGTGATCATTGAAGCTGTGTCCAATATCCCTCTCTTACCAATTATATTGTAGTGAGTCACCTTCGGTATATGCTATTTAGTGTTTGTGGAGTGGATTCTGGGACTGCTGGGTCAAAAACAGTCACTGAGCTTTATGCTACCTCAGTACTGTTTTCTTCAACAAGTAATCTGTCTGCTTCAGGCCACCCATTGTCCTAAGTGCTACATCAAAAGAGGTACCAGAAAAGATATATGACAATAAAGAAATAAGCAGATAGACAAGAATATCATTTTAGATTATTAGCTAAGCAGTGCCTGGGCTATGGGTAGATTAATGATCAGAAAGCCCTATCCAAGGTGGCAACCTGAGCTAAAGGAGCGCAGTGTCACCAGGGTCTGTTTGTGCAGGAGTCAAACTGCGCCCTAAAGGGTGGGGCTTGGCTTCATCTTCCCTAGACAGGATGGCTTGACAAGGAACCCATCAAACACCTGGAAACTCAAACACTGAACTCACAGTCAGAGTGGATTCAGATCCATAGCAACCGTATATCGGGTTTCCAAGGCTGTAAATCCTTCCCGGAGTAGACAGTCTCATCCTCTTTCTCGTGAGGAGCCCTTGTGGACCACCTGCTGATATTTTTTTCCCATTATTTTATTGGGGGCTAGTACAATTCTCATCAGAATCCATACATACATCCATTGTGTCAAGCACATATGCACATATGTTGCCCTCCTCATTCTCAAAACATTTGCCACCCACTCTAGCCCCTAGTATCAGTTGTTCATTTTCCACCTTCCTCCCTACTCCCCCCCTTCATAGTTCATAAATTATTATAGTTTTGTCATAAGTTACCCTGTCCGATGTTTCCCTCCACCCTCTTCTCTGCTGCCCATCCCCCAGGAAGGAGGCAATATTTAGATTCTTGTAATTGGTTCCCCCTTTCTACCCCACATTCCCTTCACCCTCCAGGCATCGCCCCTCTCACCACTGGTCCTGAAGGAGTCATCTGTCCTGGATTCCCTGTGTTTCCGGTTGCTATCTGCACCAATGTGCATCCTCTGGTCTAGCCATATTTGTAAGGTAGAATTGGGATCATGATAGGGGGTGGGGAGGAAGCATTGAAGAACTAGAGGAAAGTTATATGTTTCATCGTTGCTACCCTGCACCCTGATTGGCTCATCTCCTCCCCACAACCCCTCAGTAAGGGGGTGTTCAGTTGCCCACCGATGGACTTTGAGTCTCCACTCTGCACTCACCCACCTTTACAATGACATGATTTTTTGTTCTTGGATGCTTGATACCTGATCCCTTCGACAGCTCGTGGTCACACATGCTGTTGTGCTTCTTCCATGTGGGCTTTGTTGCATCTGAGCTAGTTGGCCGCTTGTTTATCTTCAAGCCTTTAAGACCCCAGATGCTATATCTTTTGATTTTCAAAAGATATATCTTTTATGCTATATCAAAAGATATAGCATTTGGGCACCATCAGCTTTTTTCACCACCTTTGCTTATGCACACGTTTGTCTTCAGTAATCGTATCAGGAAGGTGGGCACCCACTGATATGATTTTCAGTTCTTTGATGTCTGATAACTGATCCCTTCTACACCTCGTGGTCAGACAGGCTAGTGTGCTTCGTCCATGTGGGCTTTGATGCTTTTCAGCTAGATGGCCGCTTGTTTGTCTTTAAGCCTTTAAGACCCCAGACGCTATATCTTTTGGTAGCTGGGCACCATCAGCTTTCTTCAGCACCCACCTGCTGATCTTCACCGCCCACCTGCAGATCTTGCGGTTAGCAGCCAAAGGCCAAACCCACTAAGTCACCAGGACTCCAGAAGGCTCCCTGGGGGGCCTGCTTTCCAAGGCGCCCTGAGGCAGAATCATGTGCTAAGGGGTGGAGCTTGGTGAGTGTGACCAAGTGGTTTGGCAGCCCATGGGGGGTCTGTAGAACCCAAGCAGGGCCATTAACACAGCAGCTCTGAATCCAGACAGGCAACTAGGAACAGAGCATCCATGGGGGGTGGGGGTGGTGTTGGTCTCGTGGGCCCCAGAGGCCCACAAGGAGTGTGGCGCCCAGACGCTCTGGGAGCCTCACCCCACTGTAAGAAGCACAGCTTAATCGAGGCTCCCACTCTCCACAGCGACAGGGACCCGCGGGAACCTAGCACACGGCTGGGCTCAGGAGGAGCCAGTCTGCACAGGCTCCTGAGGGTGATGTCCAGAGCTAAGGGGCGGGGCTTGGTGAGAGCGCCTCCGCCGCCTGGCGCAGAAGGTCTGGACTTCAAGCAGGGGTCCTCAAACTATGGCACGCGGGCCACATGCGGCCCGTGGATACTTATCCAGGCTGCCAGGTGTTTTTGCCCTGTTTTGTTTTTCACTTCAAAATAAGATATGTGCAGTGTGCATAGGAATTTGTTCATATGTTTTTTTCTTTAAACTATAGTCCGGCCCTCCAACGGGAATGAGAGACAGTGAACTGGCCCCCTGTTTAAAAAGTTTGAGGGCCCCTGTTCGGTTCCAGTGGGCCTGCTTGGCGGAAAGGGGCCACGCACCCGGTCTCTCTCGAGGAGCCAGTGTGCGCAGGCGCGGGGGGTGGTGGAGCCATTATGCGCATGCGCGGGGGTGGGCGTGGAGCCATTATGCGCAAGCACGGGGGGCGGGGCTTGGCTGGGCGCCTCACGGCCTCAGCCTCAGCGGAAGAAGCCCTTCAGACTTGCCGCTCACGGAAGGCGGAGTCGGAGGCGGAGGCAGAGGCGGAGCTGCGGCCATGCAGAACCTAGACGCTGACGCGGGCGACCAGGAAGGCGGCGCATGGGGCCAGGAAGACGGCGTCGAGCGCCTGGAGGACCGCGGCGACCCCGGCGACCCGAACCCTGAGGGCGCCCTGGCCGGCAACATTCCTCAGGTCGTTCGAGTAGTCCACCTCCCCGGGCCCGGCGGAGACGCCGACCCCTTGGGGGCCACCGGGCCCGGGATCCGCCAGCACCAATTGTATCCGACCTGAGCGGACGGGCGGGCCCCGAGGGCGGGGTGGGGGTGGGGCGCTTAGGCTTAGTCACGTGGGCTCCTTAACGACCGTCAGCTCCCTGATGGTACCTTTCCGGACGCGCGATGGTGCAGAAATAGCCCGCGCGTCTTTAGCTCCGGATGAGGAGCCGCAGCGCGGCTTGGTCTACAAGGAGATCGCCTTGAACGGCAACGCCCTGGTGGCGTGAGTCCCCGGGGTGGAGCCCCGCGAGCCGGGGGTGGGGTGGGCGCTTAGGCTTAGTCACGTGGGCTCCTTAACGACCGTCAGCGCCCTGATGGTACCTTTCCGGACGCGCGATGGTGCAGAAATAGCCCGCGCGTCTTTAGCTCGGGATGAGGAGCCGCAGCGCGGCTTGGTCTACAAGGAGATCGCCTTGAACGGCAACGCCCTGGTGGCCCGGTGGGCATCGGAGGACCCCCGCCTCCTGCGTATCTCCATCATCACCTTCCTGGATCAACTGTCTATGGTGGTCCAGACTATGCAGCGATTCGGACCCCAACGCAACCGCTGAGTCTCAGCCAGGAAACGGGCAGCCTCCCCTGGCCTTTGGGTGTTCTTCCCCCACTTGTTCTGACCCCCTGTGGCCCGAGGAGGAGGGGGCGTAATGTTTGTGTCAGCGAAAAATAAAATTGAGAGTCTTCCGCTCCAAGTCTGGGCCCCTTCTCTGGCGTGGGGGTTTGGAGCGCGGCATCCCTGCCCTTAGCCTCTGTTGGGCGGGCTGTAGGGCAAACCTGCAGACATGTAGGTGGATCAGGCCAAAGGAAGACAGCCGGGAAATGGAAGGTGCCACCATTCAGCAGGATGTTTGCTGAGGCTGCGAGTATATTCGTTCATGCATGGGCCGGGATAATAGGGGGCTTCAAAAATACGTGGGAAAACGGAGTTAAAAGATCATGGAATTTTTCCATGAACTTTTTGGAGCTCCCTAGTATATAGCACACAGAGCCCTGGTAGCTTTGCACTACTAACTACAAGGTTGGAGGTTCAAATCCACCAGCCACTCTGCAAGGGAATGATGAGGCTGTCTGCTCCAATAAAGATTTACAAAGTCCCAGGAACCATATGTACAGGTACTGGAAGTCCGAATGAATGGCACCTACTGCATGGTTTTAAAAGTTGAACATTAGATTTTCTCATTTACATTGAATGTTTCTTCTGCAAATTCTTCAAAAAGAGGTGATTAAATGGATGCATATAAAGAAGCATCATCTACAACTCTTCTTGAGATAATGTGGAAGAAGTGCCAATAAAACTAAAAATCACAAAGCATCGTAATGAAATTGCCGAGCATGTAAATTGTCCCCTCCCCCGCTCTTTTTCTCTGTGAATGAGAATGATTCAATGGGATTTTCCTGTATGATTGTTGCAGGAGGCAGACACTAGTCCATTATTTTACACTTGATCTACCACACAAGACAGGTCTCTAGAAAAGGTACTTTTACCCCAGAAGGCGGGTTTCCCCACTTCCTTGTCAGCTCTGGACCCACATACTGACAAAACAAGAGACTTCATTTTCAGGTGAAAAGCAAACAGCCCAGAAACACTCAAACTCACTGCCAGCGCGTGGATGGCGATTCAGCAACCATAGAGAACAGGGTAGAACTGCCCCTGTGGGTTTCTGAGACTCTTAACTCTTTATGGGAATCGAAAGCCTGCAGAGCAGCTGTTGGTTTCAAACTACTTCCCTCTTCATAACCACTACACCAACATGGCTCAAGAATAGAATGTGGAGCCCTGGCGGCATCGTGGGTTACTTGGGGTACTAACTGTAAGGGCAGCATTTCAAAACCTCTGGTTACGATCTTGAAAACCCACAAGGGCAGTTCTACCCTGTTCTATAGGGTCCGTGGCAGTGAGAGTTAAAATACCTTACATACTACAGCCTTGTTAACCTCACTACTTCATTCTAGGCGCTCCTTTGTAGATTCCATCAGATTATGCGGGGGCTGCGGTGCTGCCTACAAATGAAGGCAGCCTTCCATGTTCTTTTCTCATCTTTTCATTGATTGATTTCTCGCCCTCTTACGAGTTGGGTTTTTCTGCTCTGTAGAACTGCCCCCGTGAGTTTTCTGCAGGCCTCCTCTTTCTCCTGCAGACTGGCTGGTGGATTCGAACTGTTGGCCTTGCAGTTAGCAGCCCAATTCTAATCAATTTACCCCTGGGGTTCCTTCTCTGGTTTTGAGAATGTGGCTATTTAAGATTGGATATCTGATATTGATGAATTTGATCTTGGGTACCTGATATTTTTGTCTTGTTTCAGGATTCTGTGAAGATTCTTGGAGCTTATATATTCAAGTCATGCTTGCTGGGAACAGAGCAGCTTTTTAAGGGCAGTGTGAATTCTTCCTGAGTACTAAGTCAAGGCCCAGCTGATGCGACCTTTTCCATTCTGGTGGCCAGGGCAGGTGCAATTCCTATTTCAGCCTGTGTTGCCTGTTGCTGGGGTAGTGATTTATTGAATGTGGTTCTTCTAGCCAATGTCTCTAACTCCTACCAAACCTTCTTTCCCTGCATGGGTCTGGGAAGAAGGTGGGAGAAGATACTAAAAGAATTCACCTGTGAGCAATGTGATCAGGATTCCCAGGAGTGACAGACATCCTGCTGTGTATAAAATAGGCCTTTTGATAAGCAGGAGGAGGGATCTCATTACTAGCAAGAGCCAGGAGTGAGCATGCCCTCTGGATCCGAGATCCCTGCACAGTCAAGCTCTTGGATCCAGAAGGCAGCTATGACAACAGAAGAGCAGCAACAAACCCACCAGCCGGAGCATGCAACAGTGATGTACTTCCCAACCCACAGAGCAAGTAAAGCTGAGTGCTTTGCGGTAAGAGACTGACTTGTGGAGTGGGGTGCCTCTGGGCACTTAATTGGGGAAGATAGACTTGCTGGCTCACGGAAGTGGAGCTGGGTATCTTTGGACTGGGGCTTACTGGAGTGGGGTGCCTCTGGGCACTTGATTCAGGGAGCTGGGTTTGCTGACCCACAGAGCCGGAGCTGAATGCTTGGGTCAAAACTTAACAGCAGAGTGGTATGGCCCTTGGGGCACTTATTAGCAGACCTGAAACTTGTAATATGTCCCTGTACGCAACTACCCTGAGTGTCTCCCACTGGCATTGCCATTTGTTACCTTCCTTCATAAGCCCTCTCATCTCTAATTTTGTCTGTGAGTTTTGGTATCACCATTGCAATGGATATTAGAGACCAAAAAGGTACAATAGTGGGAATTATGTAAGTCAGCATCTCCCTTAACCCTTTCCTCAGTTAGACCCCAGTGTCCCCACAGGCTTTAGTTAATTGGGTGTTTTTCTTTCTCTTTGTTAATAACTTGCAAGAGAAAAGTCTTGTCTATTTGCAAAGACTCAGCATCAGGCCATTTCTTGCCTATGCTACTAATGTGGCCCAGGGACATGGCCCTCAGCCCTTTCAAGAAAGAAATGGAGCCGGCTCCCTGCTGATAACCCACCAAGCAGCAGAAAGAGAGCAGATGAGGCTTCTGTGAGCAGGACCCCAGAGGGAGGACAGGGACTAGAAGAAAAGGCCAAGGGTAGAGGCACGGTTAAGTTTCCCAAATGTGGCCCTGAATCGTGGGGCCAGTTTACTGGGACAGGACTTCAGTCTGACTCTTCCTCCCACTGCAAAGCCCAGCATCAGCCTGAAGCCCTGGCCCCACAGATGGGCCACTGAAGCAGCTGGGCTGTCTTAAAACAAAGTCAGGACTCGGGTCTCATTACTCCTCTGTTCCAGGCCCACCAATAGGTTCCTGTCTTGCCCAGAGACAAAGGTGGAGCCCTTATGTGGCTCACAAAGCCTAAAGGGGCCCTGCCCCTTTCCCCCTCTGGCCTCCCTCCCCCTCACACGTCCCTAGTTCACTCAAATCCAGCCTCACTGGCCCCCAGCCCTTTTCCAAATAACCCAGTCTACTCCGGCCTCAGGGCTTCTGCACAAGCTTCGTGTCTGCAACCGTCTCTCCGGGCTTCATCTGGCTCACTCCCTGACCTCCTTCAGGTCTTTCTCAAAAGTCACTCCCTCAGCCAGGCGCTCTCATCCACACCATTGAAAACTGCACACATGCCTGCCCCTCCAAGGGTCCCCAGCCCCTAGAGCAGTGCTTGCCTGACGCAGAGGAACGCAGACTCTCGCTCCTGAATCAGACCCCACTTTCTCTCCTGGTTGAGACCTGGCATTCACCCGGCTTGCCCCAACACCCCATGGGTGCCCTGATGGAGATACACCTGGAACTGGATGGAGTCACTAGTGCTTAGAGAGTGTGGGTGCAGCTGGAGGGACATAACTTGTCTTTCATCTTTGCATTTCTCATCCTGAGAATAGGTGGAGGGGGCCAGACAGACCGGGAGAGACCACGGGGGGAGGGAGAAGTGAAGAGGTGCCAGAGGGAGAGGGAAGGTGGCCATCATGCTTGGCTGACGGACTGGGCAGGAGCTGGGACTTCCCAAGTCTTCGGAAACCGCCCCCCCCCCACTACCTGCTGCCATTAAGGGGGTCTAGCTCCTGTGGAGTCAAACAGCATTGCTGTCAGACCCACGCTAACCACCCAGCGGCCCCAAGGACAAAACCACAGATGGCCTCCATTTTCCCAACATTTACTTAGCAAAAGGAAACCATTCCACGAACAAAGAAAACATCATGCAACCCGAGAGAAGAAGACTGGGATCTGGGCCACAGACGGTCAGAAGACATGGAGGAGTAAGGCACTGCCGCCTCGTCCCCTCGGGGCGGGCGCAGGACAGGGCAGCCGAGAGGGCCGGGTGTCAGCCAGTGCAGACAACACCCAGGGCGTTTGGCAGCGGGCCAGGAGGAGCAAGCCCCCCTGCGCCCTCAGGCCCAGGTCTGCCAGCACTGGCCTGGTTCTTGCTCTCCTGCCGCTCAGAGAGAACAGGCCCCTCAGAACAGCGTCTGCCTCCTGTCACGCGTGGAGGGGAGCTGGGGCCAGTGGGCCAGGACCCTCAGCACAGCGAGCTTTGGCTAGGGCCGGGACCCCCTTCCAGGGGGTTGGGGCCAGCCATTGCAAAGACAAGTCCCAGGGGCTGGGTCACGGCTGGCAATGTCACAAGAAACCCAGGACAGGTGGAGAGGAAGGTGGGTGAGGTGGGCCATATCCCAGGAGGGGCACATGTTCACAGATGGAAACAGTGAGGAGTTAAATTAAATAAATAGGTGTTTGGGGTATAAATAGGAAGGAGGGCAGGGGCTATTGCCACACCTGGGACCAGGGCAGGAGGGTGGGGGTATTGCTGCTACTGCTGCTGGGATGGGGGGCTTGGTCCTCTTTCCACTGCCCTCCCTCTCCCCCCCAGGGCCCAAAGCAAGGCACTAGTGAAGGGGGCCCAGGTGGCTGGGGGCAGATTAGTCCATTGCATCCCCCATGCACCCGCTGCAGGTGTCAACCTGGGGTCCAGGCATGAGCCCCCACCCCCGCCCCATGGAGAGAGGCTGGCTCAGGACTGGGAAGCCCCCTCCTCACCCGACTTCTGCACCCTCAACTGTTGCTGGACACAAGGTTGATGATCTGTTCCAGCTTCTGGCGCAACTTGTGCTTCCGACAAGCGGCGTCTCGGTCCAGGGCGCTCAGAATCTGGGGAGGCAGGGTCCCCTGGAGTGAGGTTTGGGAGAGGGGAAACCCCCCCCCCTGGGCACAGCTCACACCCCGGGGGATCTCCTCTTTCCCACAAGCTGCACACACCAGAAGGGTTGTAATCTTTCAACCTGCTGTTTCCCAGATCACCCTCCAGCCAGAACACTGTTGCCTCCTCCTCTTCACAGGTAGAGGGCCACTCGTCCCAATGGAAGTCTAGATTCCTGTCACTGCCTTACCTAAAGTGCTCTCACCAAGGCCACCGGCATCTGTACCCAAACCTTCCAGGTGCGTGGTACTAGACTCCAGGCACCAGGGACCTCACATTCCTCCTCATGGTCACACATTACCCTGCCCTCTGACCCTCCGGGGTCCCCAGGACTCCATCTGCAGGCTCAGAGTTTTCTGGGTACTAATTCCATCCCTGGACACCACCACCCCTACCCACTGTGGCTTGTCCTCACCCCACCCTCCCCACTTGGTCCAGCTGGAATCTTGTACCCCAACCAGTGGCAAGCCTCTCCTCCAAGAGACAAGCCCCATGGCCCTGCGTGTCCTCGAGTCTCCTGCAGCACTGCCTTCCCAGCCTGCCTTCTACCTTTGCCTGAGGCTGTGCCCTTGGGCTGCGCACGCACCTCCTGGCGGTACTTGGTGACGTAGAAGTAGAGCTCACTGAGGGCACTCAGGACGTTGAAGTCACTGGCGTGCAGGCGGGACTGCTCCACTAGGTAGGCGTCCATGTCCTGGTCACTGATGGATGCCATCTTGGCAATGTCCCGGTAGTACCTGTTGGGCTCCCCCCACCACCCCCCATAAGTCACATGGGCATCTATGACTCAGCCCAAATCCCGCCACCTGGCGAGACGGGGCCAACCTCAGACAGGCCCCCCCATGGCCCAAGGACCCTCCTGCTCCCACACACCTTTCCACCCAGCTCTTGTAGCTGGGGATGTCCTTGGCGTAGAGCAGCTTGTTGGAGGGCGAGTCCTTGCCCAGCCGGTGCTCGGACGTGGAGCACGAGTCCATGAAGGTCTGCGCCACCACCGAGAGGCAGGCGTCCGTGATGCTGCTCTTGTGGATGTCGAACACGAACTGCGGGTTCTTGATCACGTTCACCCAGAACCTCAGCGGCAGGCTGCGTGGGGCGAGGTGGCAGTTGGTGGGACCCCTCCACACTGAGGCTCACTGGCCTCCTCAGCTGCAACTCCTGCCTCCTCCCTCCTTTGCTCCTCCCCCTGCCCCTCCCCACCAACATGCAACCATCCTGAGGCCACATGCTAGATGGCACACGCGCACGACTGTGCATCCAGCCAGATGCCCCGCGGCACGCACCAGTTGCTCTTCCAGGTGTGCCGCACGTCGGGGTCGCTGATCTGCCGCTGGTCGGCCTGCTCATCCAGGAAGTCGAACATGTACTTGATAGCCAATGGCAGCGCTGAGCCGCGGTGAGCCGTGCTAAACACGGTCTCAAAGAGGTCGTCCACAAACTTCTGCAGTGTGCCCTGGGGTGGGAGGGGAGCAGGCAAGGGCACAGGCGGTCAGGGGCGGGCAGGCTGTGGTGCCCTGAACAGGGCCAGCGTGTGCAGGGCCCGGCAGTGTGGGCAGGCCCACCTTGGTGGCCAGCAGCCGCGTCAGGTAAATCTCAGAGACCATCTTGCTTCCACGGTCGCCCTCACGCTGGTCCAGGTGATCGTGGTTCTTCACCAGGTGCCACAGCTTGGTGCCTGTCTCCTGGTCGGGCGTGATCATGGGCGCCCGAGAGCGCAGGCTGTCGGGGCTGCTGGCTGTGCGCAGCAGGCTCTCTGGGCAGAGGGTGGCACCATCCTTAGTGGTCACAGGCTGTGGCAGGGCCTAGGCCTCCGTTCCCTCAGACCCACCCCACTTCTACGGGTTCTGAAGTCGGTAGCCCATGACCACCTGCCCAGCCTCCAAGAGTCCAGCATGGCAAAGGCCACACCGAAGGACCTACCGTAGCGGCTGAGGGAGCGAGTGAAGGTAAAAGAGTTGGCCATGTTGTAGGCAGATACTTGTTTGGGCACCAGTGCCACCAAGGAGCCATCTGTCACCTAGAGACCCAGAGACAGAGAGGGGACGGGTGGGGACCGAGGAGTCAGAGTCACCAGCTGCTACCACCACTATCTCTACGTGTGGGCACCGGGCGCCACTCCCCCAAACTAACCTGGTAGTGGGCCAGTGAGTTGACTCTCTTCCAATCACATTCGATCTTGGTGGTGACATCCTCGTCCTGGAGAATGATGCGGGCCATTCGGCCCTGGCGCCATTCTGTGGGCAGCAAATGGCCGTAAGATGCCCCCTAAGCCCACACTGAGCTGTTCCCCTGATGGTGACAGAGTGTAACCCAGGGGCTGAGAGGCCTCGAGAGCACAAGCCTCACCCAGGTCCATGTCCTCGGCTTTGGGGCGCTGAGAGTAGGGGACGCCCTTATATACGGTATCCAGCAGCTTGTCTTTGGCCTGGGTGATGCTGTCGCAGTTGAGAACCTTCACAGGAACTTGGGTGCTGCCCTCACTCTCTGGGCACACACAGTGCAGGGTCTGCAGGTGAGGCGACCCAAGGTTGGTGATGAGCGAAGCTGTCTCCCACCCTGCCCACCTCCAGCCCGCGCCCCTCACCAGCGTTTTGTAGTCGATTTGCTGCCGAATGAGCTTGTCCTCACTCAGTGAGTAGCGCGCCTCCCCGGTGATGGCATCGATGGGGCCCTTCTCCATCTGCTGCTTGATGGCACAGTAGAGCAGGAAGAGGGGCTCCCCGGCACATTCCTGCAGTGGCCGCCACAGAGCTCGCCCACTGCCGGATGCCCCCCCACCCCTTACCCCCAGCCACCACCGGCCCTCCCATCTACCACAAACCTTCAGGAACTTGTGCAGCAGGAACGTGAACCAGTTAGTGAGCATCTTCTCGGCCACTGACTCCGTCCTAGGATGAAAGCAGCCGGGAGTGCTCAGGCCCGTGCCCTGCAGAAGCGGGCCTGCTCTGGGAAGTGGGGGGAGGGGGGCGGTAGTTTAAGGGAAGAAAGGACGGGCAGGAATGAAGCCAGAACAGGTGCAGCCAACACAGAGGCGGGTCTTGGTCTGGCAGGGGCGTAGTGGCCACAATCGGATAAGGTCAGCAACGGGCAGGACTACTAGGGGAAGGGCCAGAATAGGTGTAGTCATGTAGACTCCGGGCCTAGCCAGACAAGGGGTGGGACCTGGCAGAGGTGGGGCCCAAACTGGGGTTAAGCCAGCAGAGGGTGGAACTAACTGGGAGTAGGGCCAGGACAGGTGCAGACATGCAGGGGTGGGGCTTGGTTAGCAGCGGGTGGGACTAACCATGGGGTTGGACTAGCCAGAGGACAGGCCAGAACTGGTACAACTATGCAGGGGCAG